GTTCTTTGATGCAGTTTTAATTCAGCATTTTTCCTAAAGTATTTTCCACAAATTGCACAACAGTGAGGTTTCTCCCCAGTGTGTATTCTTTGATGCATTTTTAATTCAGCATTTGTTCTAAAATCTTTTCCACAAATTGCACAACAGTAAGGTTTCTCTCCAGTATGTCGTCTTTGATGTATTTTTAGTTCATCATTTGTTAAAAAGTCTTTTCCACAAACTACGCAACTGTAAGGTTTCTCCCCAGTATGTCTTCTTTCGTGCTTTTTTAACTCGTAATTTGTTGGAAAGTGTTTTGCACAAACTGCACAACTGTAAGGTTTCTCCCCAGTGTGTGTTCTTTCATGCTTTCTTAAGCTACTATTTGCTCCAAAGTGTTTTCCACAAACTGTACAACTGTAAGGTTTCTCCCTAGTATGTATTCTCTGATGTGTTTTTAAGCTACCACTTGTTTCAAAAGGTTTTCCACAAACTATACAACTGTAAGGTTTCTCCCCGGTGTGTATTCTTTGATGTATTTTTAAACTATAGTTTCTTCTGAAGTGTTTTCCACAAACTGTACAATTGTAAGGTTTTTCCCCAGTGTGTATTCTCTGATGTATTTTTAAGCTATAGTTTCTTCCAAATTGTTTTCCACACACTATACAAAGATATGGATTCTCTGCTGTATGTATCCTTGTGTCTTGGTTTTGGTAATCCACTGTTAGAGATTCTTTTCCACAGATCACATGACTGTATGGTTTATCTATACTCTGGTGTATATCAGATTGTTTTAGGCTGTTTGATTTTGGGAGTTTGTTCACTTCTGTAAAGGGATCTTCTCTTAAAACATAACCAGGAAACTGAGTTCCACAACAGATTGTCACACCAGTCTTTGTATCTAAAATCAAAATAAATAATAAAACAATCATAGTTAATAACAGATGTATATCACTTTATTAGGTGAAGTTGTAATACAATCAACATAAATATTGAAATATAAAGTAATTATAACAATTTTCATAGTTTCACACATTGTCTTCTTACTTTACTTAGATGATTATCATGGAACATTGTAAAATGTTGACTGATGTTAGTATTTTAAAAGTTCCTGCCATATATATATATATATATATATATATATATATAT